GGCAGCCGCCTCCGCCTGGGGAGCCGCGTGAGGCGGGGACTGTTTCGCCGCGGATGTGCTCGATGCGATGCGGTGGCGCGCTGAGGCGGGGCACGGCCTCGACGCAGAGCGGAGCTGTTAGCTGTTGATGAGTGGCGCGTCGCTCTCCATGCATAGGCGGGGTACGGCCTCGACGCGCAGAGCGCGCTGCGGCTCTTCGAGGAGCGAGGCGCCGCCGCGGCCGTCACTTCGCCGAGGGAGCGGCGAGAGCTCTACGAGGCGTGGCGGTTCGTCCACTCCGCGGCGTCGCAGGCGTCGGTGCCGGGCGCGCCGCCGCTGCTGTGCGGGTTCGCGCAGTTGCTCGCGGACAGCGCCCCCGCGGTGGCCGCCGAGTGCTCCTCCTCGCTGCTCCGTTTCGAGTCCTCCGCGCGCAACGCCATCCTGCGCTGCTGCGGCTGGCCGGTGATGCGCGACCCCGAGGCGCCGGAGGAGGCGCCCGCGCACATCTTGCTCCCTGGACAATGTCCGAGACGTTTCCCGGAGCCTTTCTTGCAGGCGCTGGAGGAGGCGCTCACCGCGTACGAGGCGGCGCTGCAGTTCGAGCGGGCGGCGCTCGTCGCCCTCTTCCACGCCGGCGCGTGCGAGTCGTACCGCGAGCTCGAGCGCGCCGTCAAGGCCCACGCACGCACGCACGCGCACACGCACAGAGAGACACACACGACACACACACACACCCCGCTCGCCCACGCGCACCGGGCCTTGCACTCTGAATGCCGTGGGGCTGCTGTCTGCGTCTAGACGTGGAGACGCGAGGGTCGCCCCCCCTTCCCCCTCTACCTTGTGTGTGTGGAGAACTGGACCTTGCCTTGCCTCTCAAGGCGCTGGAGCGGGGCGGCGCCCACCCGGGCTTGCACCCCCGCCGGGCCGTCGACCTGAGGATGATCGCGATGGCGCGCTCGCCGTCATGCCGCGCACCACCCCGCTCGTCGAAAGTCAATGACTCGCGATCTATTCCTAGGCGCGATATGGGGAGATGTGGGGAGATGTGGGGAGATGTGGGGAGATTCATTCCTTCGCCAAGACTTGCTGCGGTCTCTCCGGCCCACTCTCAACCCTCAATGCTCGCCTACCCTGAGTTACCAGGTGCTGGCGGGCTTCCAGACGCGATCCGTGCTCTGGTCCGCGACGGTGCAGTCGACCGCCCGCCGCGTCGCCTCGCCGCACTTGCGCCTGCTGCTCGCCACCCTCTGTCTCTGCACCGAGGCCGAGCAAGAGCCGCGCGAGACGCCCGCCGGCGGCCTCGACGGTCTCGGCGAGCTGCTCGACGCGCTGTTTGCGGACCCGCCCCTGGCTGGCGCCGCTCCAGCCGCTCCAGCCACCGCTGCCGCCACTGCCGCCGTCGCCACTGCCCTCTCCGCCCCTCTCCCCGTTTCTTCGCCCGCCGGCCTATCCGCTGAGGCCTCTCGTGGCGCTTCGAGCAGAGGTGCGGGCGCGGGAGCAAGCGGGGCGCGTGTCGAGGGCGGCGGCGAGGGTGGCGGCGGCGGCGGCGGCGGCGAGGGCGGCGGCGGCGGCGAGGCGGCGCTCTCACTAGCAGACTCGACCGCCTTTGCCTGCCGTTTTCTCTCCGACGAGAGGCGACGCGCCCTAGATGTGGAGACCCGTGAAAACGAGCTCCGACTCCAATTAGCACCCGAGAGGAGTCGCAGTGGTGTCAACGGTGGACACGAGTGGCGGCAGTAGTGGTGGAAAGGCGGCGCGCAATGGCGGCGGCAATGGTGACAGCAGGTGGCGGCAGGTGGCGGTTGCAAATGATGGCAGCTGTTAGCAGTGGGGTGTGGTGGTCGACTAGACACGGCAAGATTGCTTGTGCTGGACTCGCCAGAACCCTGATGCAATCGGCGATTCGCCGTAGGCTCGGCACGCTCTTCGCCTCGGCCGCCGCCCGCTCCGAGGCGCGTGGCGGGCTCGGCGGGCTCAAAACAAGAAAACGAGGCGGGCTCACGCCGCACGCGGGGGTTGTGAACAGGCACGCGGCTGGCTGGGCGGGCTCTGCTTCTGTGGGCTGGGCGAGCACGCGTTCCCGCTGCTCCAGTCGTACATCGACCGCAGCTCGGACGTGCAGACCGCCGCGGCGCTGCTGCTCTCCGCGCCGAAGGGCGTCCTCTCCCTCCCGCTGCCGCGCCACTGGCTCGACACGTACCGACGAATGCTCAACCGGTGGCAGCTCTACCACGCCCGCTGCCGGCTCGACATTGCCGCCGCGCGCGCGCGCAGCGCCGAGGGCGAGCCGACGCGCCCGCCGAGGGCCGGCGAGCCACGTCCAGGGCGCTGTTCACGCGTGTCCGTCCCGTGAGCAGGCGAGCGGAGGGTCGGAGAGCCGGCGAGCCAGGTGTTCGCGCGTTGTG